TTATTTACGTTTTTCCTCATCAAGGATAAATTGGATTTTTCACTGTAATGCTAAAAAAAGCCTAACTCTTTTTTCCAAGTAAAACCTCTGTGTAAAGGAGGAAGCATGGAACGAAATGTTACAGCTGGCAGCCTCTGATTTCTGTCAAAGACAACTTCTTGGGCTTTAGCGAGGCTTATTTTTAATGAAAAAATACCCGAAAACCGTTTTTTTTCCTCATCAAGGATAAATTGGATTTTTCACTGTAATGCTAAAAAAAGCCTAACTCTTTTTTCCAAGTAAAACCTCTGTGTAAAGGAGGAAGCATGGAACGAAATGTTACAGCTGGCAGCCTCTGATTTCTGTCAAAGACAACTTCTTGGGCTTTAGCGAGGCTTATTTTTAATGAAAAAATACCCGAAAACCGTTTTTGCAAAATGCCCCAAACATGCCACGACCTGAAAAGCGTCATTTTACACCCAACACAAAGAAAATAAAAAAAAAAATCTAGGCAAGTTATTTTTGTCTTTCTTGCCTTCTTTTCCTAGATTCCTGTATTATTGGTGACCACCCAAAACTACAAATCAAGAACTCTACTTTCTGTATGAGTGCCTATCCAAACTTGACTATGGTTAACTTCACCAGTGAAGGAAACAAAACGTTTGTCAGTGGAAGTGAAGAATACTTCAAGTAAGATCTTTCTTTGTTTAGAGACGTTATATCAATCTTTCTCTAAAATCCACTGTACCAGACAACAAATCACTGTTTGGCAGACTAGAAATACAATAGTTAAGGACAGCAAATGATACCCATTTTTTATGCATAGGAATGATGAAAGCTAAATTTCAAATGCTGGATTATTTATGTCCTGTTCCTACAGTGCTTAGCGCAGCTGGGATGTTGGCCCACGCTTGGCATTTTTATCTACTACTGCAATGCAGATAAATAAAATAATACATGGTGAGAATCACTGGAACCTTCTAGAGAAACCACTGAGAGCACTGAAGCAAAAGGAAATAGTGTAGGAATTTGCACTGAATTACTGCCTATAGTTGCTGTAACTAATTTTTCTTTTTTTTTTTTTTAATTTTTAATTTTTATTCTTAGATACTTTGTATTGAAGATTTCAGCAGGGATTGAATATCCTGGTGAGATTCGATGGCCCTTGGCACTCTCCCTCTTCCTAGCTTGGGTGATCGTATATGCCTCCCTTGCTAAAGGAATCAAGTCATCAGGAAAAGTAAGAAAAATATTTGTGAACGTACACTTGTAACAAAGCAGTGTGCTGCTTCAAGGGAATTGCACTCTTGTTTAAGGCAGTGAATTACTGAAAATTATTTTCAGTAAATGGCTAAGTATTAATGAAATGCCTTTTTCCTGTCTGTGTTTTCCTGTCCAGCCAAAACATTAAAAAAAAAGGATTATTTCAGCACAGCATTTGTTCCTTAATCTTCAGTAGTTTCCAATGAGCCCTTGAGCTGCGCGAGCAGTGAGATGGCAAAAAGGTGCCTTCAGCAGCCTTCCTTATTCTGTGTGGTGTTCATTAAAATTCTGCAATCACCTGACGTTTCACTGTAATCAGGAGAATTGTGATGTAAATGGAGATGTTAAACAACATGTTTTAAAATCAGAACTGAACTTAAACTGGTTAATGGTGAGCGTGAGCAGTGATAGTGTGCATCCTGTCCTCCCAAATATTTGTGTGCCATCTATCTAAAACTCCTCCTTGCCGTAACCCGGCCCCTTGCTCCGTTTCTCCGACATCCTATGTCGTTCTCTCCCTTGCCCCTCAAATTTGCGGCTTGCTGCCATGCCTCCTAACTAGCAATGTCAAGAGGGAGCGTGTCCCCTCGTTGGCATGGGAGTACAGGCATACGCAGTGGTCCGGCAGCCGTCTGAGCAGAGAAATGCAGCTTTTTCTTTAGCAGCAGCTAAATAGTGTGTTTTTGTGAAACCTGTGGGAATGCAATATCGGAGACTTCTCTACCAATGCCACTGCAGTTAGCAGGCAGGTTAAAATGTTAGATGATGACATAGGATAAATCTAGCTTATTTACAAAGAGTAGGTTGAAAAAGATAAAAAAGCTGGAGAAAAATAACTAGATGTTTCCTGGGATAAAGATAGTGGCTATGCAGAGATGGTGGCTATGTAGAGATAGCTATGAATTTTCTAGAGCTGGGCACAGGGTTTCTGATTCCAAGCCATCCCTTGGCATCTAGAAGCTGACAACATCTTGGGAAGTAGCTTGGGAATTAGCAGAAAATCCAGAGACTCGGAGTACCAGGGGAAAGTTGAGTTTGGTGTTCCTCTCCCATCCCCTCCTCCCTTAGTGTGATAGGAAAAACTGTTTCATGAAAGGCTAGAGCCAAGAAACGGATCATGCACAGGATAACGTCTTGAGTTTGTATGTAGCAGTAGCTATTTCTTCAAGTGAGTCTTAGTGGCCAAGAAAAATATTGACTCTTTGGTGTCAGGGATAGAAAACCTTTATTTATGCATGGATGAGTTCAGTATATTCACTGCACAAAAATTCTTTGGGACAACTTCTTGAAACACCTCTTGAAACAGCAAAGAGAAAGTTGTGAAAGCAGCTCCAAAAGTCACTTAAGCTCAGAGGATTCTGGTCACCGTAAGATTCAGAGGTTAATGTGAAAAGGATTTGAAATGCTCTTGGGTAGAGTGTGCAGTTTAACTGGCTATAATCCAGCCATTTATTTCACTGCAGAGAGCTCTGCTCTGTACTAGGTAATTATTAAGACATTAAACACACAACCTCTTTTGTGTATTTAGACATCATGATGATTAGGTCTATCTGGATCGTTCTACTGACTGACTTTTTTTTTTTTTTTTTTTTTTGCATTGGGACCATAAATATTTTAATGGTGATATGTAATTATTGAGAGGCACAAACACGAATAAAAATTCCTTAGGATTAGTTAAATACAGAGAAGTACATAGAAGAAAGCAGAACTTTAAGTGGTATTTAAATAGCATTGCTCATTTCATTTCCACTGGGCTGTGTTAGATGACTCTGGGCAAGGATCAAAAGGCATATTTTCATTTAGCTGTAAATTCCCACTGTTACTCTCCAGACCTTCTTTCCTGCTTCTTCTTCCCCTCTCTCTAGAATCCCAGCTCTCACCTCTGTTGTTGTTGATATTATTCCTGCTTCCAACGGCAAAAAGAGCTGTAAAATTTTAGATTTCCTGGGAAATAACCCTGTTGTCTTCCTAGTTTTATCCCCTGGTGATTGTCTCTGAGACAGAGTAATTCCTTTCTTCAGGCAATAGTGTAGCATGTTCATATTTTCCCCTCTCTTCTTAGGGATCCAAATAAGCCCTTTGAATAATCCTTTTTTTTTTTTTTTTTTTTTTTTTTTTGGTCTGTCCAGGTGGTGTACTTTACAGCTACGTTCCCCTATGTAGTTCTCATCATTCTTCTTATAAGAGGAGTAACTCTACCTGGAGCTGGAGCTGGAATTTGGTACTTCATCACACCAAAGTGGGAGAAGCTAATTGATGCTATGGTGGGCTTACTATTGCACTTGTAACTCTGCTAGGGTGAACAATCCATACGGATTTCTTAACGTCTGTTGCAAGCATTTTCTCCGTGCAGAGGCTATATTGTCATCTGTGGAAACTTGTTCTTCATCTCACGTGGAGTGTTGTTGCAATGAATGTTTCTTATTTGTGTGCACATTTTTTACTTATATTATTATAGATACGGTATTTACTTCATGTTTAATATTTCACCTGAATCTCTGAGTAGGTGCATTTGGAAAATAGGGAGTTAAAAAGGAAGCACAGATTTTCATACACTGGTGTCTGTCGGATGCTGCCTCGGCTTGAACAAACATATGAAGCTTTTAATGGGTAACATAATAAACTTCTTTGCATTTCTTGAGAAATGCTCTGAGTAGGTCATTTGCTTATTGAGCAAAGATTGTTCTGAATAAGTATCTGAGACATTAGATTAAAGAAAATCAAATTATACATCCTAATCTAACTCCTGATAGCACACATACTGACACAGAATAGCTGTGATCATTGTCCTACCTGCATTGTAAGAAACCAGGCTACTCGCTGTGTGGGAAAGGACAGACCAGGCTACTCGCTGTGTAGGAGAGGACAGAATTAAGGGTCTGGGTACCTGGCTTTGCTCTTCAAGCATTGACTATATGAGATGAAGCTTCAGCTCTGCTGCCTCGCTCATGATTTCAACTGATTTCTAAAAGGCCATCTGTTGCCAATGAAGCCAGTAAAACATGTTCCAAAAATACACGTGGATTTGTGTCTGTGTAGACGTAAATGCACCCATGGATTTGGGTGACATCGCAGGTGAGCTCCCGTGTGCTGGTCTTGGGTGTCTTGAGGCAGGAATCTGTAGACTGAACTGAAGCCTGAGGTGAGAGTTACAATTCAGAGTCATTTCTTTAGAAATTTTAGAGGGATTTTTACATCAGGAAACACCTCAGGAAATTTACTGGGTTTTGTTTGTGGTTTTTGTTGATGTCCTGTCCTCCACACACACCCCCGCCCCCCCAAAGAATTTTTTCCTCTATCAATAGCGGTGTGATATCACACTGATAGATCGATAATTAAAGCTGAAAACAATTTCCTGGATGAATTGTGCAGATCTTAATTTCCTTCATATCCTCTGCAATAATGGATATTTGGATCCTTTGGTGATGGGAGTATTAAATCTTTTGCAAACAATACAGAAATTAATTTTGCATTAAATATGAGCATTTTTGGATCCCACATTGTGCAATAAAGGAGGTGAGAACTGCTGCCTTTTGCAAAATGGGGCTGTCTGAATACACTAAGTATCTGTATAACCCCGGGTAAGTGTTCCATAATATTCAGGCAAGCTTCTGTTTTCAAGTTTCTTGGCAGTGTAACACAAATTAATAGCTGTGTATTACACTCAATTCGATGGAGGATTGGCTGCTTGCTGGCTGGTAATTTTTAAAGTAGCGTTTAAATAATATCTTAAACCTGGATAGTGTGTGTGTAGAGGTACACCTGTCTGTGCGTGTACGTGTATCTCCACTTCTGCACTGTGGACTCGGGTGGAAAATCAGACTTTGTAGGAAAGCTCGTAAATAGAAATACCAATGCTTTGAACATTTTGCAAGTGATAAGGAAGACCAACTCCTTTGAAATTCCAGGCAATTTAGGAATTTTTTACATAAATGCACTTCAGGCTTTGTTACAGACCAAACAATGATGTTTGGTTGTTTTGGGTTTTTTGTTTGTTTGTTTTTTGAGAGATTTAGCTAAGCATGTCTTTTCTTCTGATGGGAGGAAACAGGGCTGTTTAGGTATGAGGACCCAAACTTAGGCTGTGCTGCTTGATGTACACCTAATGATAGACATTTCCCCTGATTTTAATGTAATCTCATTCGTAAGGAGCACATCAAGCAACACTGAGGTTCTTACTCTTATGACGAAGATAAAGTGTTACTTAGCACCACCGGCAGATAAACCATCAGTACTTGATGCAGATTTTTCCTCTTGATTTGTATTTTCTTTGTCGAATGTGTTTCAACTGATAGGTATCAAGCAATATAGTCTGAATATTTGTGCCTTCCATACACAGCAAAGGTGATGCTGTCATTTTGTATGGGCTCAACAAGACCAGTACTCCTCATCAGATGGGCACTATGTATTTTGGGGAAGGATTTTGCTTTTAAATGTTCAATTAACATCCGTTGCTCTAAAGTTAATTTTAACTACTT